TCTTGCAGATGTTTCAATACCCAACTAGGTAACATCTAATGGAGGGTTATTGTTTTTTTGTATTATGGGTTTTTAATTTTGTAAGCCACCCAGGGTCACTGTGTGTGAGCTGGGCAGCCATATAAATCTGTTTAATAAATAAATAAATAAATAAATAAATAAGTCACACATACGCATGTGCAAGGCCCTTGTGTTCCCTTTTTTTGATATACCTTCTAAAATTTTCTTAGATGAATGTAACACGGAGAACCTTTTTTTCATACAGATTCCAAGAAAAGCTGGAGATACTATACCAAGTTCTTCCCCAGGTTCTCTCTGGCCTGAAAGAAACCTTTCTAAGGATGCTACTGTGAAGTGAAGGTTCTTCTTGAGAAAGGGAGAAGAACCGCAATGGCAGATCATAATATGGCAAAACGTGTGGCGTTGAGAAGAGCATGTGCTCCCTTCAGCTCAGCCATAGCTCTCGATACTCTGTGGAGTGAATATGAAACCATAAGGTGCCTTGGTTCCCCCTTTAAGTCTTGCAGCATAACTACACTGGAATATTGTGCTAAGATCAATGGATTAACCAAAGTTTAATCCTTGGGATCTCCAGCAGTTGTCCTACTGCCTCAGATATACACTCATCATAACTAGAAGCTCCTAAAAGCTCCTCTTCCATGAGTTCATGTTGACCATTCTTGGAGTCCTCTGAGAAGAATTAATTGTTCAATTCATTTAGCTACATTCTCCTTGAATGAGCTCATGAAAACATATGCAGTCACAGGAATAATATTGATGATTCACTGATTTCCTTTAGAAGTTGGTGCCCATTACAGATGGCAAAGTACCCAAGTATGACTGTCTCTCATAGGACAACAGACAGCAGCTGCTAAGAACACATGGTTCAAGATCGTTTTGACCAGTGTTTCTCAACCTCAGCAACTTTTAAGATGTGTGGACTTCAACTCCCAGAATTCCCCCCCAGAATTCCCCAGCCACCAAGAGAAACACTGATTTAGACTCTTACCCATCCCCCTTGACTTTGGATCCAAGGGCTGAAGTTTTCCTGCAGGTATTTTGCTCCAAAGCCTAGCACAAGATTCATGGGATGGTTGTCCATTACAAGGAGTTTGGTTGTGGCTTCCATAATTAATGCAACTTTGATCCTCTTAACTTGATCCTCAGAATTCACTGTGGAATCTATGGGTGGCTCCTCAAGGAACCGGTCGGTCACTCTCCTGAAGAAGGTATAGGAGGCCATCATATCCCAGACACGCTGACAGAAGGTCTTATCCTTTTGAATCTGGAAGAGGAAAGAGAAGGCATTTATATATTAGCCAGCACAAAGAGACAACTTCCTCAACAAGTTGTCTTGTCAGGCTTGGTTTTCTTTTTTCAAATTGTGTTCCATGGAACCCTGCAAGAACTCCTCAAGAACTTGATGGGATTGTATGCGAGAGTAAGGGCGAAAAACAAAAAGAACATGCCCGATCCCTCAAACTGGGACTCTTGATAAGGGATTCCGGGATTTTTTTTTTTAACCTACAAGTTCTGCAGCCTGAAAACATTTGAAAACCCCTGGTCTAGTTGACTTGATGCTTGAGGAAGATTTGAGCCCTATCATCTCAGGTTCCACGTTCGTATCAAATTTATATCCTATTATATTTCTGTGGGAGCTCAAAGCTGCTTACCTAAGTCTCTCTCCATATTTTATTCCACCCTCACCCATAAGTTAGGTTGTTTGATGCCCCCCTCCTCAGAAGAGTGGACTTTTTTGACAGTTTGTTCCATCTAAATAACGTGTCCCTATCCGTGGCTATTCCAAAGGTTTTAATGAAAGTTACTCCCAGGAAGGGTGTCTAGAATTATAAACTCTGTGACTTTTTGAAATCACCTTTTGAATGTAGGTCAGGGAAAATACTTTCAGGTGCTCCGATAGCTGAAAATTCACATAAGGGAACTTTGGAAAAATATTGTGCTCAACACCAACACCAAGAACACCAACAAGGTGCAATGACGTATTTCAGAGATTACCCATTTTTGCACTCTTGGGAGATTTTTGTCTTTGATGGGCCAAGGCTGGAGAATCTGATGGAGCTCCAAATTGCTCCCTGCTTTTTCTGAATTCAAGGGAAGGGCTTTTTCCCATGTGGGAAGAAGGTTATACCTGGCTTTTACACAACAGGTTTCGAGAAGACAGCACTGAAATCCACGTGCCAGATTGTAAATGAAGAAGAACAAAGGAGCAAAATGAAAGCTTCTGCAGTTAATGTGCAGACCAGAGCATTGGAGTCCCTGCGACCTCAGGTGGGTTACCTTCTCCTGCAACTCATCTCCTGACTTCCGTAACAAGGCAACAATCGCATCGATAATCTTTTCTTCGTTATCTGGTAAAAAGATAAAAATAACCAGCTCATTTTCTTTTCTTAACACAGGAAGTAAAATTAGAAAGCTCTTGGACAACTGTAATGCTTTGGCAAGCCGCTATTAGAAGAGGTGCCGTCAAGGTGTTTTCGACTCCTGGTGACCCCATAGATAGATTTTCTCCATGAAGAAATGATTACTGGACAAATAGTAAATAATGGTGGAGTGCTTGGGGCTCTCTGAACTTGGTTGTTTTCTTGCAGATATTTCGTTACCTGGCTAGGTGACATCTTCAGCGCTAGAAGGGAGTGGGGTTTGCTCCCTGTTTATATACTACCAACTCAGACAGACTTCCTCAACAAGTTGTCTAGGCCAGGCTTGGTTTTCTTTTTTCAAATCGTGTTCCATGGAACCCAGCAAGAACTCCTCAAGAACTTGATGGGATTGTAGGAGAGAGTAAGGGCAGAAACAAAAGAACGCGCCCGATCCCTCAAGCTGGGCCCCTTGTTAAGGGATTCCAGGATATTTTTTTAATCTAACAAGTTCTGCAGTAGCTTGCCTTGTCCATGTTGGTGTGTTAGTTCCTAAATTAGGCTGTTGGTTACTGCTTGATTGTCTGTCTGCGTTGGTAGTTCTTTGATTAGGGTATTGTTTACTGCCTGACTGGTTGTCTGGTGTTAATCCCTGCTTATCTGGGTGTTGATTGCTGGCAAGGAGGTGTTCTGATCTTTTTGTTTCCTTTTTATTGTCTCTTTTGAATAGCATGGTTTGTCTCTATGTGCCTGTTGATGGCTGCCTTGTCTGAATGCCAAGCTTCCAGGAATTCCCCCACATTTTTGGATTTAGCTTGGTCTAAGATGCTGACAGTTTCCCAGTTGAAACTATAGTTGATCTGTAAATAATGGTAAATAAGGCGCCAAGATGGCTTGAGCTTCCACCCGGTAGCTTTGAAAATCCTGGTCTGTTTCAAATGAAATAGACCAGCTATAAGCCTAACCCTCATGGAAAACCAAGTACAGGTGGCTTAAGGAAGCATTGTATTATTTTCCATTATGCTAGGGATGGTATTGACCATCCCTGGTTCTGCTATCAGACTGATAATCTGAAGTGAGGCCAGGTGTCCCCTCCAGAGAAAGGGGGCCCTGCCTGGATCCTCCATGAGCCACACTTGCTACTCCAGGCTGGATGAGAGAGGCCTCTCTGGGGCAGCTTGGCTGCAGGGGCACAAGAGGGAGAGCTCGGGTTGGCTGCTCAGGGGACCGTCTCCACTGATTGCAGGAGAAAGCAGAAGTGGCTGGAAGAGGCAGCCTTCTCTGGCCAGCAGAGGTGCCCTGACCCAGCCTGGTCCTATGAAGGCCAATTCTGGCTCTTGTAACATCTACCTTGATTTCCTAAGCAGTTATCCTTAGGAATTATCCTATTTCCTATCTATACTAATCTGTCACCGTATCATCTATGCAATTGAAAACCTCAGCCGCCCTCCTCCTCCTCCACCTCCTCCTCCTCCTCTAATACAGATTTCTCCTCTCTACAGGAGGAGCTGGGGAGGGGTCTGTGCCTGCTCCACCTCTTAGCCACCCCAACCAGCTGGCCAATGATACGGAATGTATATTCTTGCCAACCCATCCCTCCCACGTCCTTTATTTTAGCTGCTTCAAGTACCTAAGCAGGGTGGCCTCTCCATGGCAGTGCCACCGAGCTAGCCATGGCTCGGAAACAAAGACCTAGAAGTCCCTCAATTGCCAGTTCAACAACAGCCTAAGAAACGTGCATGTGCTGTGAATATTGCTTGTGTTCAAGAGCCCACAGTAAAATATGTGGAGAATGGTTGTGTTAAAATGGGTTGAACTGCTATGAGGCAGTGCAGAAAGCAGGTTTACGCATCTTCTAGAACCTGTGTCAAAATGGGAATCTTCTGCAGTGCCCATGTGGAAAAGGGACTGTGAATGTCCATGAACAGGAAATCAGTATGAAGAAATGCCCCCAAGACAGAAGTTCAAAACAAATGTGCTGTGATGCCATGAAGGAAGAGCGCTTTACCTATTCCATCAACACCACCTTGATGTTGTGAGAATGGCTTGCTGGCCCAGCCACCATCTTCTTCTAGACTCAACGTACGATCCACCACTTGGAAGGTCTTCCTTCCAGAGGGAAATCTGGAATTATCCACTATTTCAGCAAGTCTATCTGCCAAATGGGAGACGTCTGAGTCATCTAAGAAAGCAAAACAAAATAAGAGTGGAATAATTCCATTAAACAATCTCCCTTCAGCTAATGCATTATTCAGGAACATACAATTTGCTGCATCACCCAAAGATACAATTAGTCATTATGGCAGAAAAATGCACGGCTGCCATTTCCTAATCCACTTTGGCTCCACCACTGCAATGTTTTGGCGGGAAAGGAGAATGGCCCACGAAGATTAAAGAAGAAATCTTTCATACTGTACATTTGGAGCGGCTAGTCCCAAACCATTATTTTTTGGGTGGGCGGGGATCATCCACCCACCATTATCATCAGTTTGCTCCTCTCTTTTTTCTTACCACAGAAAATCCAAGCTTCCTTTGAGAATGAAGAGAATGGTGAAGAGAAATATTCTCTTTTTAAAGAAAATTGTGTCCATAATTTACATTTAAAAATCAAACAATAAATGTAACGCCATTGTTATTGCAAAGGCTATATTGAGAATGTGCTAATTTGCTGTAGGCATAGATGGTCAATAACTCATTACTCTACACAGGGGTGTTGCAAAAATATGTACAAAAGAGTGTAGTCAAAAACATCAAAAATGGCAGCAGCAATGATGCGATTGAAAATCCACCTGTTTTCGTTGTACATAAAAAGACCAGCAGAGCTTCAATCACACGTTGCAGTTGCCATCTTGACTTTTTTGACCATGTCTTGTGGACCTACCTGACTCTACATCAGAATGATATCCTTGGTGTGTGTGGCTGGGTGGGGCGGAACTAGAAACACGCCAAGGACATTAGTATGGATGGAACATAATAAAACTTTGAGGTGTGATCTGAACAAGCTTACCCAATGCCATTCTGATTTACAATGGGTTGGCAAAAGTATGTTCGCTCCAAGAATCTGAGGACAATATTGAAATAGCTGATCTGAAGAGTTAATGCCCTAGTTAATTCGTACCATTGATTGGCTTTGCCGCCTAAACTGTTATCGGAAACAAGTTCTGGGAAGGTTGCCTTGAAGAAAGGCTGCTATGCTCCCAAAACTAATCCAGCCTATGCCGGCCGACTTAGAGGAAACCTACTTTGCCCATCTGGTAAACTTTCAACCCTGGCCTCCGGCTGCACGAAAGAGCCATTGAGCTCGGCGTGTGGTCGGAATACCCCTGGGGTCCTGGGGTCTTTTGCTTGTGGTCTTAGACAAGGAGGAACCCACATGCACTTCCAGCTGGCTCTTGTCTTCATCTTCTTCGCCTTCTTCTTCTTCACCTTCTTCTGCTCCTTGTATTGGGCAAGTGGTTTGTCACCTGCCAGACAAATTTCTTGAAGGGTCACTTCTTCCTTGGCTGGAGTGACGGCTTGCGCAGACTCTCTGCTTTCTTCTTGGGCTTTGGTTTCTCTTTCTAATAGCTGCCCGTATTTACTCGCAGACAGTCGCCGCTGCGCGTAGACCATGAGAAGCCTGTATTCCACGCTGGTTCTGTCTGCATCCTCCAAAGAGATGTCTTCCATGTTGTCCAAACTCTTCTTGTATTCTTTGTCCATCCTGCAGTTTCGTTCAGGCCCTTATGCTCTGTAGCAAAATAAGAAAATCCAAGTCAGTTCTAAGTTTTTTACCCTCTTCCTTCTTTTTTACTGCTTTCTTTTCATTCTGAGCTGAGGAACGTAATGAACATTCTGAGATGTCAAGACAACGAATGATAATTAGCCAATGCTCTGCTTCCGATCCACCGCTCAGCTGCAAGGGCGGTCAGAAGAAGCCAAGGTGGCATCTCCGAAGGGTTGGATTTTTTTTTTTAAAAAAAGGTGAGGCTTCAATCACATGGTTGCAGCCACTATCCTGACTTTTTTGACCCCTCCCCATGGACCATGGATGTATGAGGGTCTTTCTTCTTAGGCATTTGCTGCATCGTCTATTTCAGTGTTTTTCCAAGTTGGGAACTTTAAGATGTGTGGACTTCAGCTCCCAGAATTGGGATGCTGGCTGGGGAATTCTGGGAGCTGAAGTCCACACATCTTAAAGTTCCCAACTTGGAAAAACAAGCTCTATTTTCTCAAAATTTATTTCCTGCCCTTTACCTTTGTTGTAGCCCAAGCCAACTTGTGTTTATCTGGAAGCCACAGAGCTTATTTCCAAACTGGGTTATGTCTGAGTTCTACCTTCCTAGGAACAAGCCCTGACATTCTGCCTTCTCCGCACGCCTATTGTTGACTCACACTTTCAAACAGAGCCTCCTGGTCAAATCCCCCTTCTGCTTTCCTTTTCACATTTCCTTCCTGTGCTAGCTCGGGTCCTACAACATTTAGGAAGCCCTCTTGGCCTCTAACCCCACTTTCTCTGTGCATCCTGGAGTGAGCAGGACAGCATTCTTTATTTTTAATATTTATATACTGTATTGTCTCTAAGGGCTATATAGAACTCTCAAACTGATTTACACAACATAAAGTAGTGTAGCCTGATTTGGTTGGTTTTCACCCACTGCAATCAAGCCAGGTGCCTTTAAATCTATTTTAACCCATTTACTCCTAATAAGCCAGGATTCCTTGTTTATTGGGCTTATTGTGATTCAGTAATTTCCTGCCACATTTTCCCTACTTCCTTCCATTTTAAGACTCCCACTTGCATGCAATCAGAAAAGGAAAAATATCCAGAATGATGGTCTACCGCTTCTCCAAAAGCTGAGAGTTGGTGACAAAAAATAATTTGTGATTACACGAATGAACAAGTGAAGAACAGATGTCTTTGCATGTGGCTAAAGGTCCCCATCCTGCTTAAATGACAACCATCATTATCTTGTGTTACATTTTGAATTGTGTTACATTTCAGGTTTAAATTAGAATAAAAAGAAAGGGGAGAAAAGGAGTTACATAGGACACTGTATATTCAATAATCTGCTAAAAGGACAGGCTGAAACTTGTAATGAAAGTTTGCAAAGAGGGTGCAGGAAAGCAACATTTTTTACATCACAGCCCGGCCCAAGAGAACCAGGAAGGGGAGGAGGAGGAAGAGCTGTAAAACAACATGCATTCTTTGGGAATTTAGAAGACCCACGGCAGCTATTGCGCAAGTTGACACTGAGCCATGGAGGAATTTGCCCAGTTCCAGCTATCTGCCTTCCCCAAACTTGGTCCCTCTGCATTTGCTGATCTGGATTTTCAAGGGCTGGAACCAATGGCCCCTGGTGTCTGGGGTGTGCATGGAGAGGCTCAAAAAGGTTAAGCCATCGGGGCTCCCATCTTGGCTTTTTGACTCCCCTCCCATGGACAACCGAAGGGCCTCCAATGGGACAAAGTTTTAATTCCATTACGATCCTCTCTTTTCAAGAAGTATAATGAGGAGATCTGTTCTAAACTTTTCAACGGGAAAGTGCTCCAAGAGTTGACCTGGGCAATTGGTATATAACACTAGGATAAAAAGGAGGTTTGAGTCTTGAGCTATAACATATCACTGGTATTAATCCCATGTCTGAATTCTCATGCTGGGAATATCTGGGAAAGACGAGCTGGCCTGAGAATTTCAGCTGGGTCGGATTAAATATGACCCCCAACACTTAGGAGCATTTTGGGGTCTCTCTCTTGCACTCCATCTCAAACCAGATTCAATTCTGAGCCTGCGGGCACCCCTGAAGTTCCCATTATTCGTTCAGTTACAATTATCTTTTAGAAGGTATTACTCAGCAGCCAAAGTCTCGACAAATGATGAGAAATTTTCTCACACAGCACAGTATTTTTCACACTCTGATTCAGATTTGAGGGATGCTTCCAAAACACACCTGTGGTCACCTGGGGAAAAAAAGTCTCGTAGGTGATATCAAAGTCATCTAATCGCTTGTGTGGGGAGCCACGCATTTATTTCAAAGAGAACTTCAGGGAGTCCCTTATATTTTCTCCTTATTCATCCGATTCCACCATATTCAGGATGGGAAACCCTAATTCTCTCCTCTTTGCAAACAACAATAAGAGCCATTGGAAATCAAACGCTCAGCTCTCTGAAATGTGGCACAGGGGTTCCCCACCTAGAGAGATGGTTGCCACAGCAGATTTCACCACCTGGTGTGCCCAACCAACCCATTCAAGGCAGCTGAATAAAACAAAAAAGTTAACCTATTTGTGATTTTACATGGAAATACAAGGGTCTGCTCTTCCAAACAGCCCACCTTCAGTGAGACTTGAGCTGTACTGATCCAATGCTAGGCTCCTCCAGACCAAGCTGGTGTGGAAAAATAGGTCTATCTGGTAAATTAATTCACTGATGTATCCATACCTAATATTTCCATACATTCCAAATCGTGCACCCAATTAAAAAAAAATCTGCTTTGTTTAGGATGTTCATCGCAAGGAACACAATACGGCACTCCTGAAAAGCCTAGGAAGCTCCCGTTTTCATAGAAGTTCCCCATTCTCTGTCTGTTAATTCTGACCCCTTTGCTTCTTTCATTTTATAGAAGCTAAAATGAAATTGCTAGCACGCTACTCCTAGGGTAAATAGCAGCTTATTTATTTTAGGCATATCAGCCTTCTTACACCAGCTCTCTGATCTGATCTATCTGCTAGACATTCTGTTCAAAGTGCAAACACTAATTTGTGCCAGTTTGCATAAGTGACGTGACCGGCCTTCCTTTGCACTTCTTCTTTCTGAGAAATCAAACGCTTTCCGATATTTCTTCTACGTAGAACTGCCAACTACTTTTCTGGCAGTGCTCCTCTGGCTTTAAGAAGCTTTTTCCAACAAATCCTGTGAGCTTATATAATTTCAATAGCCACCAGGAAGCTCTTTTCCGTTACTTTTCATTTTCACGCAAGTATAAATTAGTGACTCATGCAGAATTCTGATCTATACCTCTTCCTGCCTCCCCCACATTCAGACTGGTTCTCTGTAAAGGCTTTCCCCTCCACGGGACCTAAGGGTGATACTTCAAGAAATTCTTCCTAGGAGAAAAACAGCGGCTAGGAGAATTTTAATTATAATGCAAATAAAAATAGACCAGTGACTCACATGGAGATACAGTGGGAATCTGCTTCTGGTGACAGCCATGGAGGAGGGAATCAATAAAGACATCCCCAAAGACATTCAAAGAGCCCATTCAGGGGGGGGGGGGGAGGGGGGAGATAAGACTACACAGAGAGTAGGGATGTTGTATGGCATCCTCTCAGCTTCTCCCACCTGTTGGCAGGGTTTGCCTGTAAGGACACCCACTTTCTTCTTAGAGATATTTTCCTCCAGCCCAGTAACCCAAGTTCTCTGGGAAGATTCCAAGTTAAACCAAAAACATTAAAAGAATAAAAAGGATCCAAGGCTTGAGTAAGTGCCACAGGAAAGGATATGCAGCTAAAATGATAAATAGATGGAGAATCAACTCAGAAACGCAGCCTTCGTTTAAGGCAACAAATGTCTTCAGAAAGATTTTGAGAAGTCATCCAGCAGCAGTGCCAGAATTTTACAGGGGACCTTGATGTCATTTGGGGTGGGGGGGTCTTCCTACAAAAAATGGCAAAAGGAAGGACCACAGCTTCCCACTGCCAGGAATGTCAACCCCACGTTTTGCAAAAGAAGCTTTCAGCAACATTTTAGCTTGTTTGCCACCTCTCCTCAAGAGGATGTCCTGTATAATAGGAGTAGAACATCCAGTGAATGTCTGGATCATTCTGAAACCACACCAAGAGTTTTCCTTCCTCAGCCTGGCTAGAAGTTGCTTCTCTTGGTGACATCAATATAAGAAAATTCCCAAGAGGATATCTACCATCCAGGTTTAAACAAACCCAACATTCAGATTTAGCTCTTCATTATTAATAATTTGAAGCAATTACCTTTGGATTTTAGTGCCCAAATGGTCTTGAAGAAGTCTTTCCCTGATCTTCCCTATAGGTCTGCCTATGAAATTGCTAAATGGTTCAGGATTGATAAAACTGAATGTCTCCCGTTTCAACTGTGCATCCAACAGCGAATATAAGGAATTGAAAAGAAACAGTAGAACAACTTTCACTTCCTCATCAGTTTTGTACAGTCAAAGGTTGAAGGGTGGAGTTACCCAAACATGCTCAAGCAGAAATTAAACAGCACCCAAGGCGTTAGTCTGACTTGGCTTGAAACCAAAGGGCACCCTGGCACCAGACGAATGCTTCTGGAAAAGACATGGGTGAGGGTCATCTAAGCCAGAGTTCCTCAACCTTGAAGGCATTTATCTCTGAAGTGTGTTCATTCTCCCCCAATACTCCCCCCCCCGCCACTAGGCGGGGGGGGA